CACACTTGCTTAGTTTGGCATATAGTCGATGCTCTCTCAATGTCCGCAGAACAATCTTCAAATGCTCGTCATGCTCTCACAATAGGTGAAGATCCCGGATAAGTCTCAATCTCGAACTCTACCTCTCTATTAGGAGGTAACCCAGGCATCTCCTCCGGAAAAACATCAGAAAACTCGCTAACTGTACGAATCTCCTCGATCGTGGACAAGGAACCTTTAGTGTTAAGAATACATGCAATGAAAGTCTCATACCCCTTCCTGATCATACGATCAATTTCTATAGTTGAAACAATATTGGAGAGATAGCCACGCCGTTCACCAATTAACACAATAGTCCGACCATATGAAGTCTTCAGAGTAGCACGCTTGTATTCGCAATCTAAATTTACCTTGTGTTTATTCAACCAATCCATCCCAAGAATTAGATCGAACTCCTCTAAAGGAAGCTCCATAAGATCAGCGAGAAAAATTTCTCCCTGAACCTCTAGAGGACAACGCTGAAATACTTTATTCACTAATACTGCCTGTCCTATTGGACTCGTAACCATAACAGTATTATCAGTGTTCTCGATCTGAATTTGAAGGTTTTGAGATACTGAGCTCGATACATATGAGTGGGTGGAGCTATTGTCCAGTAATGCAAAGTAGGGAATAGAATAAAAAGTAAATGTACCTGCAATAACCTCAGGCTCATCTCTATCATCTTGACGTCTGGTGGCATAAATCAAAGTTGGTTGTCTAGCCTCTGAAACTGCAGGCTCTCGAATCTGCTGGGGTCGAGCTCTACTATCGGCTCTGGATGTTGATCCATAAGGCTTTCCCTGATTACGACCTCTAGTTGGAGTCTGTACTGAAGTCTGAGAACGCACAGGAGTCTGGGTAGCGGTCCGCTCTGACGAAGCTAACTGTGGACAATCCCTCCGAAAATGATCACTGGATCCACACTGATAGCATACCCCCATTTTCTTACGACACTCTCCTGTGTGTCGTTTACCACAATACTCACAAAGGAGTCTATGAGGCCATAATGAAGAACCACCTCGACTGACAACTGAGGGTGAATATGGTGCAGGCCTAGAACTGGTATTGCTTCTCAAAGGACCCGAAGTACGAGTCTTCTTTCCAGGACGTACAGAGAACTCGTTTGGGCCAAAAAATCTCCCAGGCCTCTCTCGATCAACACGGTCTCTTGCTGGAGCCAATGTCTCTACCTCCTCAGCATCCTTCGCTCTGCCTACCAGCACATCAAAAATCTCATCCTGATGGGTCACAATCTGTCTACGCAGCTCGTATATGAGTCCAAGGGCAAATTTACGAAATCGATCTCTCTCGGTAGGTACCATACTGACTCCATATTTTAGCAACTTCAAGAACTCGATCTCATACTCAGAAACGGTCATGTCTCCCTGAACCAGGTCCTGGAACTGCTGTCGTCTCTGAGCCAGAAAATGGCTCCGAAAGCGCTCCTTAAAGAAACCACAGGTCAAACGATCAGTCGAAACACTACTGACAACTGTCTCCCACCAGGTGTGGGAATTGCCATCTAACGTCGCAACTGCACCCAGATATCTCTTAGTTGGGTCCAAACCCAACTGATCCATGCGTCTCTCAGTATCCTGGAGCCAATCTTCAGCTTCAGTAGAAGGTCCATCAATCTGTCCTCCAAAAGTTCTGACTCCATTAGTAATCAGAGACTGAGAAATATGCACATCTGATCCAACACCAGCAGCTCTGACCGCTCCCTGAATCAACTGTAGAAATTGTCTACCAAAATTCTCATCAGGTGCAACTCTGGTAGAATCAGACTCAATATCAGTCGCTCCTATGATTGGTGTAGTCATGCCAATACCAGCGGTAGGAGGCAAATTCGTCGGGGTCGCAGGAGCAAGATCAACTGTCGGAGGTGGGGGATCTACCCGAATCTCGTTGATCGGGTCTGCAAATCTAGCCACTCGACCTCTCCCTCGGCTAGTTCGACGTCCACGTCTAGCACTCATTTTTGTAGATCTCTAGTTTACTACAGAAGATAAAACTCAGGGTTAGATAAACACTTGGAGTCTCGAACACAATTAAAATCGTAAAAACTTTGAGACATGACCTTAACAACAGGTTTTGTAAAATATTTCAAAACCGTAATTTCAATTTAGACTCATACTCAGTCCGAGGTTTAAAAACCAAAAGCTCTGATACCAATTAAATGTCACCCCCTAGACCCAGCCTATGCGTTTCGACTAAGTATAGCGGATCACATCCATGATTTTTAAAGACATTTTCCGAAACCCTTATTCGATCAATGTAAATTCACATTATAAATACATTTATAAAAGGATATAATAAATTACGATAAAACCTAACTCATGAATATAAAACTAAATAGTTAAAAATTTATTTTTTAAAACATGTCGTAGAATTTGGATCACTATAAACCAATTATCAATAGCTTAATAATATTCATTTCTAAAACAAATACTTCAAATAAAAGCTCATGTTACCAAAATAAAGTCAACTTGAAATATAAAAGCATTACAAATAGATGTGCATCAAGATATATGTTGATTCTCCAAGTTCTCGATCTGGGGTATCTAACCAACAGTATCTAAAAGGGGGAAAATATTTTCAAAAAGTGAGCTAGGCTCAGTGTGTCCCAATAGTACAATAAAATCATAGTAGGTACAATAACCGAGTAATAGTTCAGAAATCATCATAAAATCATAATGAAGTTTAACTTTTGAAAATCGTAGTTTAAATCCCTTCTCCTGTACAGGAACCGTAGTTCCCAAGAACTGCGTCCGTAGGGCTACCTTAAGCACACAACAAAAAGGAAGCCTACCTAAGGATAAGCTTTTGGGCCTGTATCCTTAGGTCCGTAGGGCTTACTCTAAGCACACAGCAAAGAGGGCCAACCTAATAGAGCATCTTGGGGCTCGTGAGCCTACCCAAGAGTCCATTAAGTCCGTAAGGTTTACCAGCTTGATCAGAGCTATACCTCCGTAATTCAATCCAACCCAAAATCAGTATTTCAAAAATACTATTTATACAGTGAGCATAATTTCCATAAATCAGTAAACATCGTTATCATATATTAATGAAAACCAATAGTCATATATCAGTCATTGTCCATAAACCATCAATAAACAATAAATCATAGCTTTCAATGTATCATATTTCAAAACAGATAAAACAATTAAATAGTACTTAGGGAACACACCTCGATAATAGGTTCAAGTAGTAGATTTACTGATTGCTGGTCTCACCACGTTCTGCTACAGTTTTCGAACCTAATTTATAATAACACTATATTACTAATGGGTAACATAATTAATCTCTAAAATCATAAAATTTATGAATCTTACGGGTGAATACTGGCACACGTGGTTTAACTGATCTAGAAGAGCTGGGTCGAGCTGTCGAACGATCCGGAGAGTCTCTTGTACCTTCAAACAATAATAATTTATCAGCCCAAGTCTTACTTAACTGTTCAAAGCTAAATTCTTAAGTATATAAGCATTTTCCGGTTTTTATTATCAATTTGGAGGATTTCGAGTCTGAATTTGACCAAACGGATTGCGGAATCGGAATCAGGACGTTGAAAAACATAAAGTATGACTTTTTAAAAATTCAAATTCTTGGTCAAAATCAAAGTCAACGGGTTTGACTGATGATTTGGATGCCTTCGGGTTCGAATTTGGCAAAAATGACTTCGGAAAGGATTTGGCACGTCGAAAAATGTCAGAATATGTATACTCGAACAAAATCAAAGGTCGTTTAATGGCCGTTTAAAGCCGGTCAAAGTTGTGGTCAAAGGGGTTCAATAGTCCACATTCGAAAATTCCCAAATTGTCATTTTTTCACAAAAATTCCCAGAATGTCACTTTTTTTACAAAAATTCCTAGAATGTCACCTTTTTCACAAAAATTCCCAGAATGTCACTGGATCGGGTCAGACTGGTCAACCCGGTTCGAACCGGTCAAACCGGTCATAACACCACTCATTAATTTGGAACTCCCCCACGCGTGGGGGCGCGTGAAGGGTCTTTCGGACTCCAAAAATTCCTGAAAAAAAATTCTAAAAATTATTTTAAGCGATTTTGAGTCACTTACCAACATCAGTTCAAATTTTTGAACGGTGGAGAGCTCGATTTCACTTCGATCGAAACTTTGACCGCTCCACCTCCCACACGCGCCGCCGCCTACGGAGACAAGGACGACACCGTCAGACTCGGAACGACAACAGGAACACGTTGGTGCGGGAGGTGTCGAAAACCGATCAACGATCGGAGATGAATTTAAGATTTTCCCGGCGGTGGTGCTAAGAAAACATCGAGACTTTGACTCGAAATTCACGTCGTTTGGCAGCGCTTCGCTATAATTGGTTTACTGGGTTTTGATCACGGGTCGACGATGAACACGATGGTGGTTTCAATTTTTCGATTGGAAGTCGGACGACGTCGGAATTAAGCTTGAAAGTAGAGGTACGGGAGGAAGAATTTTAAGTAAATAAAACATGTGTTTTCTGATTTCAATCAGAAAACACGCTTATAATACAAGCCTGCTGTCGCTGCCGACACTCCTTGGTGGAATTCAGGGTTTGGTCCCTGAATTTCTTTCAATTTCTAAAATGGCCTATAAATTTTCATAAATTTTAATTTAGCCACTAAATTTCACCAAATTACACCGATTTAATAATTTTTTTTTCTCGGGTTGTTACAGTATCAGTCTATAGATTGGAAGTTTCTACTTTTCATCCTGGTTTCAGCTCAGGATATATTATAATGGTCTTTGGTTTCAGAAAATGGTAACCAATTTCCAGCGGCAAAATCGAGTATCAAGAACTAGTTTTTTTTTTTCCAAATCCAAATGTTTTATAACTCTGCCTTGGATTCTAGATCATCCGATGATTGGTCACTAGACGAAGTCTCGGACGATGGTGATGATGGTGATAATGAAGTTGCTCGATCGGGATTTATTATCAGATCTGTCCACTCCAAAACTGTTCTTCTAGCACCCAGAGCATTGACGTATGATATAGATGATCAAAAAGTGATGCAATGTAAAAGGAAAGTGGTATGAACATTATAAGAATCACTGGGGTATAAATATAGAGTAATGTACGATTATAGAATACCTGAAGTTTTGGTTCTTTTGTCATTGGATTGTTGCAAAGATCGATGGTCTTAGCCTTCGATTTGGTGGCATTACCACATCAAGATTCACACCACAACCATTCTTGGGGTAATGAGAAGACTGGTACTGTATGCTGAGCATAGTTTGGAAGATCCTGAAATAGTAATGATTGTTATTTGAATATTGTATATATATATTAAGCAAAAATATCGGTGACGATGTAACGGATTTAACTTGCCTGATCCAGATTGGATAGACTGTTCGGATCTTTGCTAAGACTTTCATAAAAGACTCTTAATTATCACCAGCTGCTGTCTCACGGAACTTCACCAAGTCAACCACATACAATGCACTGTAGAAGTACGACTCGTTAAGCCTTTGTTATGTTAACAAGGAAAGAAGTTTACTGTTATACAATTTGATAGTGATCACAAACCTAATATGGTATGGTCTGCCACGCAAATGCTCTTTCCAGAATCCCTGTAAGGAGAAGTGGGGAGGGCGTAATTATAAAACAGTTTTATTATAGTTATCGTTTTCAGGTGATAAAAAGAAATGAAGCAGACTGAGGAAAAGGACAATTTTGCGGAGAGTGCAGGGATGGTAGCACATTACTTGTCTCCAAAATCGATATCCATCCATGTCCTTATTGTTATTGCAAAAAGGAGTATACGCAAGAGGTCTTCCCTTTATATCCATGTCATAGAGTTCTCCTATATCCGCCCTCACAACTTGATCGGCGTCAACAAATATAACCTGCAAATGCATTTTCATGCATGAAATTGGGAAACAAAAGCGATAGAAGAGAACAGATTTCTAACAAGAACCGGAGAAGGGGAGAAAAACCTTTTCCAATGAAATGGGAAATATAACATCAAGGAACAAAATCTTGTATGCCCAAATAATTCGCTGCTTTTCTGCCTGCTTGTGCAGCCACGTAGGCCATTTGTAGGTGATTAGTTCATAGTCAAAGCCATATTCCTGAGCCATATGTGGAACCATCCTGCATAACCCGAAAGCAAACGTGCATTAGACATGTACTAACAGGGGGAAAAAGTGCTAGACAAAGACGAAAAGAATGCCAAAAAGTTATATACAACCTTGAACTGAGGAGACGAGTAGTTCCTTGTGAACCAGAATTTCGCTGGACGATTGGTATTCTTTAAAACACTTAAAATCATAATTTTAAGGAAGCGTTCATATCTGCAAATGGAAATCAAAGAGAAGTTAAAAAATGATTGTGGGTTAGAAAAGTGATTGAGGATTAGTAAAGTGAATATAACAAGAATGTTGCCGTTTCACAGGCAGATAATTGAACTTTTTGAATGTGTGGAAGAGCTTATATTACGAGCTTTATAGATTACAATATTTTAACTTCAGCAAGAGCAGAAGTACTATTATAATACAACATAAGGGTGCAATATGTCAATTCTTTTACTCCATCCAAATAATGTTTCAGACTGAAAAGTATTTTCAAAACAGTCATCCCACACAAACTGCAACCGATAGCATTTACTCAATAGTTTCCTCAACTTCATTGTCATGATAACTGGTTAAAGTTAGAAAGGAGACAAAACACAAGCAAGGAGACAAAAATAAGTTTTAATTGAAGTGACGCATGTAAACTACAACCTGGAAGAGAAATAATGGAGTTAAGCCCAAGAAAACAACCATGTACATGCTGAAAACTTGACAAACCAAGAGCGTGGACTTGAACACTTTCAAATGTCCTGAAGAAATTGAAAAAATGTTGATTGTTTTTCCAGGTCGACCACCCTTTCCATGATCCCGAGGGAGGAAAATGAATAAGTGATTCCAGTACCTTAGGAAGAAATTGAATATAAATAACAAACAATAAGGCAAGCAAAGCCGTGCCGGCAACTGAATCATACCATAAGGAGAACCAAGAATGAAAGATCTTAAAATATAAAACTAAATGCTGCTCATCTTTCAACTGTAATGGGGGTTCTGAATGGTAAACATATTTACATACTACTGCTATGTACAATTTTGATCTGCTTACCATATTATTAGACCTCAGTGTTGCTACTGTTAAGGTGAGGACTAGAATAATAAAGTCCATACTACAGCTGCACCCAGAAACTAATATCAGCGGAAAAAAACCTAAGCAGCTTATATGCTCCCTCCCACAACTACAATGGTAGCTTATTTTGACCATGGTTTAAGGGACATTCATTTTTCCTTTTCTTATATCATCTTTTGTCTTATTTTGATCCCCTCTCACAGCTTCATATTTATATCCATTTCTTGCAACAATTAATCCTAATTTAAGGTGAAGTATAACACAACACGATATGAACATAGATTTACAGGGGGGAGGCTCACCACCAAACCGTCACGACTCTTTTTTGATTTCTCGCTGCCACGAATAAAACCAGAAGCCCATTTGAGAATGTTTGAGTTCCAGCCTTACGTCCCTGCTAGGTATCCACAAAGATACCTCAGTCATCCATGAGCACAAAAAGATTGCAAATTACATTTCAAACAAAAAGAAAAAGCTCACCTTTTCTTTCGAACGGTTGTCATCATCAGATGAAATAAACAATTTTCTTTCTCTTTTCCCTTTTTCTCCACTACTTCAAGATGGACAACTTTACCCCTCAAATCATTTATGGTAATTCGCTTTGACAAAGATTTCTCTTGATTCCCATTATCACCATCTCTGAAAAGATACAACTCAGAACTTCTGCCTGGAGCAAGTTGCATGTACCAAACTCCAGGAGATACTTTCATCTGCCAATAACCCAAGTTGGCCATCACAATAGTATCAACCAAATGAGGTGTATTCTTTGTTCCAAGAATTAGCTGAAGACCTCTGGGAGGATCACGATCCTTCTCGGCACAATGACCTAAATTACGCACAAAAGTCTAAGAAAATGTACAGAGTATCTCACTACTCTAGTTAGGTTAATTTTTTTACATTATTTCCAAACAAAAACAAACTCACCAGTCAGAACAAGAGCTTCAAGTTCAAAAACTGCATGTAATGTCCTGGTGTCACCCAGGTTCTCAAGCAAAATATTGTCCAGGTCATGACTGAAGTATTTATATTCACACAGAGAGAATGAGAGAGATTAGTCAATGCAGTAAGGTACAAGATGTTGCAAGTCTTCAACATCTCGTAAGGAATATATAGGAAAGGCAATAGACAAAGAAATCATGGTGTTAATAATAAGGAAGAAGCATACACAGCAATGACAGGCTCCACAAGCCATGGCTCAGGAACATCCAGGTTCATTGCAAGTGTTTTGGACAATGGCATATTTGCGAAAAAGACTTTTGGTCCACTTACTGTGTAATCAGTGCTGCTAAAGTCTTCCTGCAAGGTTTTTGAGTCCTCAAATTTGAGTGAATTCTAAAGTGAGATGCATACCATGGTTGGGATCACATATCTGTAATAGTTCTTCGATGGAAGATCAACAAGGGAACTCTGCCACAAAAGTAAATGTTTATAATGTTTTCCTAAAAATTTTGTAATTGAATGACTTCAAGAAGGAACAAAATAAAAGAAAAAAGATCGCGTCTTTTATTGGCGGCTTTATCATTATTGCATGGAAACATCAAATGTATTTTTAGAATTTTGAAACGAAGAATTTGATTTCGGTAAACTATTAAAGAAAAAATGATTAATTTAATTTTTAGTAATGCAATTTGAACGCTAGCTAAATTAATCGCTTGAATATCTCTGACTGTAATTTAATTTTAAATTTTAGTTTCGTTATTTGATTAAATTTTAAAATTCAGTTTGATATTTTTTTTAAATTCAATTAATAAGGAGGGACAATGACCTCTTGAGAAAAAAATTCATAAATAATTTGATTTTCTCTTTAAAGTATGGGATCTGACCTTTTTCATTATCCAATCTAGGCCGTTGAGGTATCACCATTTGATTTGTATAACTTGCTACGAGATCATTACTCTCCCTCCTAAAAGGCATATCCTTTAATTATATAATATTAGCGTTTTAAACTCAATAATCTCTTATTTTCTTTCCGATGCGAAGTTAATATCAAAGATATATATTACTAGACAATAGCCCCATTTGGTCTAGTTTCTAAATATTGACATCAATGTCAAGTTAAATAACAGGCTCCTACGTTTAGATTGAAAGTATTCATAGGTTTCATATATGATTACATCATTAGCTATACAACATACATCTAAACGCTAAACTCTACCGTCTTTCATCTCTTTCGTGAAGGCAGCACCGGCTACTGCACGTTCTGCGTTGCACGATTCTCGTGCGGGGTATCGGTATAGACCTGCCCTTGCTCTCTCACATCTCTAAACATGGAAAGAAACGAATTGCGACCTTCCGATGAAGCACCTCCCAAGATCCATAATAACAATGAACTGAATGAATTTAGAGTTCCAGGATTAGGACCAGCTTGCTGAAGCTCTGGTTGTCCGGGAATATGCAGAGGGTTGCCACCCTGGCCTATGTTCTCATTTTCTGACAGTCTTCGAGGTCCTGCAGCTTCTCCAACTCCATTTGCTGGTACTTCTTGGTCAGATCCAGGCCTCAACCCTGGCACAGAGTTCGGATCGGGTCGAACTACACCGGGATTCCTGGTGTTCAATCTGGTAATGTGTAGTGTAGACGCAAGGATAGTCGAGGATGTGATATGAAAATCCGGATGTTGCTGAAGTTGAGACCGCCTGTTTTGCATAAACCTTTGAAGAGCAGGTACCTATGGGAATAACAGGTTAACCGCTAAGGCCTTTGAATCTCAGCAGTATCGATTAGAGGCGTTAAAACATGAGATTCAAATCATCATACAGAAAAGGAAATTATTGGGCTGTTCAATAATTGTTACCTCGAAACGATTCCAGAAGTACAAAATAAGGTGCTGCATGAATGCTGCAGTAGTTGAGAGAGCCAAATACGAAAAGCCTGGAGAAAATAGAAACATAGACTTCGGATAAATGAAATAAATTCCAGTAAAGCAAACCAATATTCTGATAAGTATAGGATGATACCATATGCATAGCAGAAGAAATAAATGTGAAAGACCAGAAAGTAGAGCAAAAAGAAGCGTGGAAAGAACTTCATCGATATCGGAGTCCGAACACTGCAATTTATTGACAGAAACAATCATATTAAATAGGTATTGCAACAGAAAGTAAAAAAAGTAAACGCGTTTTGATGCATAGGCGTGCATTGTACATATTAACACAAACCCAATCAAAAAGTGATAAAAGACACAACAATCATCTCCTCATCTAGGCGAGGTGATTTCGAAAGAACGATACAGAGATTTCGAACCCAATCAAAAAGAGAAAAAAGACACGGAGCTATCTAATCTCATCTAGGTGAGGTGATTTCGAAAGAATGATTCAGAGATTGAGCATGCCATTTTGCTCATGTTTATTATGCCTGCTCGTAGAAACCACCTACCCTATGTTACTCAGACTCAGATGTTGTCTCCTGCACGTATATGTTTAATTTTTATCTTTCCCATGTAGTTAGAGGGTCCTTAGAGGGTTATCCTCATCATCATATCCGAAAATATGCCAGACACGAGTACTTTAAGAATGAAGAGTCATAGTAACATAACACTCACCTATCTACCTACATGCGTAAGAAAACATGCATAACCCAACTTTTACTAATTGAGAGAGAAAGAGAGAGAGACCTGATCAGTATAAATAATTCACACAACCAGACAAGAATTAGAACCATGAAAGCCAAAAGCTGATCATCATAGAACTCGAATAGAAAAAATAGGATGCCAATCATAATCTGCCAGAAAACAATGACATTCTGTAAGAGGCTAGTGACAACACTTGGAAATTCAAATGAAAAGTAAAGAGATGTTCTATAATCAGAAAAAGGCTTTGAAGAGTACTTAATTTGAGATAAAGATTTAGGCGCCTACCGGTACAAAAACAAGTGATTCGATCACATGCACAAATATCAACTGAAATGTTGGAAGCCTATGTCGAGCATGGTGTTGAAGCTGCACTGCAATAATTTGAGAAAAAGGATATATCCAATCATATTTGAAGATTGAAAGAATAAACGATGCATTACAAAATCAAGAAAGCACTTCCACATCACTCTAGTCACGGGATTCATCCGTCAATATAATCTGATCGAGAGACTTCATCTTAAAGGATTTTTTTTTTTGATAAGAATTTCAGGCCTCATTAAAAACCCCCTTCTTGATTAATGGATCTTTTAAGAAAGCACCTTAATCAGCGGAAAGTAGAAAAGAGTGCCTTAGGATTTTATTGATCAAAGACAAAGTACATAAAATACAACCAGAAGACAAACTAACAAAACCTAAAAAATTACAGAACATAGAAAACAAAACCCCAATGCGACCAGACCTCCCTTAAACAACACCAAAACTGACTTAGCCCCAACAACCTCAATAGACCACCAACCCTATTGAAAACCCTCTAAGGCAACCTTCATTCATCATCCAATCCCCTGTTTAACTAAAGTATCAGCCTCACAATTGCAGCTCCTCGGGATATGTCTAATAATGATCTCCTTTTCCAAGATTAGGGAAGCAATTTTCTGAACCAACGAACTAAAAAAACGAGGAGATGATGTCGGCAGCAAAATCCAATCCACTACTGATTTACAATCACTCTCTATAATTAACATTCCCTTCCTCGCCCAATCCGACGAGAGAAAAAAGTCAATGCCTTTCTCAATGGCTTTCAGCTCAGCAAGTGGAGGACGACCTGGTCCAACAGCGTGCGAGAAAGACCCGAGAATTTTACTTTCTGAATCTTTTAAAATGCCCCCCATTCCCCCTAGCAGCCCGTCCCACTGACTGCCCCATCAACGTTAACTTTATAAAAATGAAGTGGAGGAGGAAGCCAGCCCTGAACCTTCATCCTTTTAAGGTTCCTAGTATGGTGCTTGTCTGCAAGTGTAGGGTCCCCAACAAGGGAGTCTACCTGAATAATGACGTCCGGATGCTTAGCCAGGAACCATTTAGCCAATCTAAATCTACAAATGAAGAAAAGAGTATGGCTGTCCAGTTTCCAATCCTCGAAAACCACCGAGTTTCTAGCCTTCCATAATGACCATAGAGCTACACCCGGTATAAAGCTCCATATTAGATAATTTGGCCTCATGTCCGACCAAGAGCACAGCAAAGAGACTGGATCTTTAGGTAAAACTGACGAGACTTCCCATAACCTCCAAAAACTGCTCCATAGGTCCCATGCTACCAAACACGATATGAACAAGTGCTGAACTGTTTCTTCCTGCTTAGCACAATACGGACAAGAGACCTCCTCCAATGAAACACCTCTTCTTGTCAACTCCGTTCTAACTGCCAATCTTTGATGAAAGACCTGCCACAGAAAAGTTTCGACTCTTGGGGGAGCCAAACCTGACCAAACGAACCTTTTCCACTTGAAACTATCCCCTGAATTTGTAGAAAGAGTCAACCTACATGCTTTAGCGGTGAACAGTCCATCTCCCTTCCCCGACCACGCCAAAAAATCATCCACCGATTCAGACAGACCAACATTTTCCAATAATGACATCAATTGAATCCAGTAATCCAGCTCCCAATCACATAGATTCCTTCTCGTTTGAATATTCCAAATCCATCTATTACTCAAGAAACTGCCAAACTCTGAAACTTTTCCCCACTTGTTATTGGAAAGAACATAGATCCTTGGAAATTGATTCTTTAAAGAATCCTCATTTAGCCAAACATCGTGCCAGAATACAATAGACTTGCCATTGCCTACTTGAATCTTCGAGTGAGATCGCAAACCATGACCAATTGCATCCTCTGCCAAATAGTTTCTTGTAATACCCTTCCATATCCAAGAATACGAAGGAGAGACTACCTTTTTGAGGTCTAAAGACATATTACTCACATTATGTTTACTGCAAATCATGTTCTTCCAAAGAGTGTCTTTTTCATTTGCTAACTTCCATACCCATTTACCTAGCAGTACTCTGTTAGCGAAATTCAGATCTAAGATTCCCAAACCTCCCTCCTCGAAGGGTTGACAAACCCTTTTCCAATTCACCCAGTGAATTCGACTTTTTGAAGAACCTTCCCCCCACAAAAAGTTGGCCATAAGAGAATTTAACTTCCTATAAACCTTACTCGGGATTTTGAAAACAGAGAGGTAGAAAATCGGCAAGGAGGACAAAACTGATTTTATCAACACCAATTTGCCCGCCATAGATAGTGTGGAAGCTTTCCAACCGGATAACTTTTTGATGAAACTCTGAAAGAGTGGCTCCCAAACAGTCTTTGAATTTCTCTTTGCACCTAATGGTAAACCTAAATATACTGTGGGCAGGACACCTACTGCGCAACCAGCCTCCTTAGCCCATTCATTTAATACGTCGTCATCCACATTAATTCCATACAAATTACTCTTCGACAAATTCAAACGGAGTCCAGTCATTACGCTAAAAATCCTCAAGACTCTCTTAATATTGAGAATATAGGTAGGTGAATCTTGGCAAAACAAAATCAGGTCGTCAGCAAA